TAAAGCTGTTTCTAAAATGAACCAAGTATCAGAAATATTTGCTGAAATGATAAGTTGGTGCTTTCCCTGATAACATGTGGGGGTTTATTCCTTTGCAATGAGTCATTTTTATTGTTTGTCTTGTTTCTAGGCCATTCTTTTTCTGTATAAATTATATTCTACAGGATGTATTTGAGATTCACTTTATGTTTAAATGTATATGTTTTAATTCTTTTCAGTGCATGTATAAAAAGAATAATGTTTTAGGTCCTTCCTTTCCACTTCCTTAACTCCTTCTTATAAATAAACACACATATCCCTTTCTTTACACAGTGTGTCTGTTGTTCTGGAGTCTATCTTCAATAAAAAGGCTGTTTCCACAGTGGCTATTCTGGAGTGTGGAGTGTTTACATTGCTCCAATTTTAACTGTTCCTTTTAGAAGTTTGATTCCTCCACCGACGCATCTATAGCTGAAGACATCGTTTAGCAATGGTCTCTATCACATTAAAAGATTCTGACCATTTTCTGATTTTTTGAAGTCTTAGTATGTTCATAAGAAGAAAAAAGCAAGAGGAAGCATCAGCATGAAATCACTGAACATAAAATTTGATCTTTTATTAGATTATAAACCATCTGCTTCCTCAAGACACAAGCATTAAATACTATGTTATTATTAGTATCATGGTTTATCAATGCCATCTTCTAATTATTATTTTTCTCCTTTTATTCAACTCTCCTTCTTCCTCATTTCCAGTGTGACTTTTTCATTAACTTGAAAACTCCTCTGACTGTGGAAATATGATCAGCAGACTGTGTACTGACTTTTAAATTCTGACAAAATAATTATTTTCCTCTCAGAAGATCCTGAGTATCTTTGAGGAACTAGACAACCCTGTGACAAAACTAGGAGATACCTTCATTTGAGTTGTTGGCCAGGGTGGCCCAAGGGACTCCCAGATAGTAACCCAGCATAGAACTGGGAAAATGAACAGCAGACCCCAATCTTATCTAAAGGAATATTGACAACTGATTGCTGCTAGATGAGGAACAGCTGACCTTCCTAAAACAATGACCTCTAGATAGGCTGACTAGATTCACCAGAGGGGCAAGTAGTGGGGAATGGCTGGGGTGCCAACAACACAGCAGACAGTAGCAGGGATATCAGAATATAAGGGCTCTAGTAGGGGGAGGGAGGCTATGGGAGGGTGCCATCTGAGAAGTGGGTGTATAGTTGAATAAGAAGATTTGGGATGTTCTGTGTGATATAAACACACGAAAAAATCAACAAATGTAAAAAATGAATTATATTTGAGGAGGAAGTATAAAAATTTACATCATGTTAATTAGTAGAGGTGATAAACATTATCATTTAAAATATGAATTTTTAAAGCCAGGGTTAAAGAAAGAACAAGGCTTAATTTTTCACTTTTGTGTGTATAGTATATTATACCTATAATAATAACATTTATCATTAGTGATTATTTGCACCTAGTTATTACCTTATAATGCAGGAATGAGGAAATTTTTATGCATAAAATTATGTTTTTGTTGAAATCAAAGAAAAAATGATGAGTTGTACTGTTTGTTGCTTCATGGAGTATGCGTGCAAGGGGATCCAGCCATGATTTCATCCCAGATCAGTAGTGTAAGAAAGATCCCTTGTAGTGAAAATGCTATAGACCAGCATGGTCAGATCACCCCCTGGGTGCTTCTCATCTTACTTTATAGCCCATTTAATTTTATTTATTGTTTATTCTCATGTCCTTCAGCTGTTTCCAGTCTACCTTTCATGGTCATACCCAATAAATATGTTAACATACAAAGGTACTTATGTAAATGAAAATCAATGCACTCATTTCGGCACCATTCTTTATTGGTTACACTGGACATTCTAAATACATTTTATTTAAACATTAACAACTTTTCATTCTTGTCTGGGAAGTGTAATGATCTTCTTGGCTCCCTGCCCCTGCAGCTTTCTGATCTTTACAGCTATAGTCACTTAGCCCTCATCTGAAGGTTCAGGCTTATTCTGAATTTTGGAACTAACTTATCCCTAGGCTGGGTCAAACAAGATATCCTAGCCAAAAGCTAACCGATGCAGCATTCATTCAGCTCCCTGTCGGTCTCATTTTGACCTTCCAATTTATTACCCAGGTTTAGACTATGAGTCTTCCCATGTCTAGTACCCAAGGCTTGACAATCTATGCCAGTTCCACTAAGTGAATATGCATTTTATCTTTCCTGTTTCAGTTTCTAATTAATTTTCCTGATTGATACCCGTTTCTGAAGACTCTGCCATACCACCCTTATCCCCTTTATTGTTAAACTTTTTCGGAAGTCCATTTGCCATGAGCGGAACCTATGGACAATTGCTGAACCTTTCTGATGCCATACTAGCCTGGCACATAAATCCTTGAACTATCGTTATACCATGAATTTGAAGTTCTCAAAGAATATATGAGAAGCAGCACTCTGCTGTCTTGGATGGTTTCCCACTGTCTGCTGCAAGCATTTTCCCTAGTTACTATTCCTAACCAACAGGCCCTGTGGGTCACTGCATATACACTGCCTGCAATCTGGCCATTTCTTTATTAGGCAAGACAGCAAAGAAATCATATTTTAATTGCATCTTTGACTGAATTGTCATATCAACACCCACTAGTTACTAAAACCTCAAAACTGCAACTTGGCCCTGCCACTTAAACACTTCAAACTTTGGTTTCTTTATTATAAAATAAAACAACAATCACATCTACACTGTACAGATATTTTCAAGAAAGTGAGAAAAATATATGCAAATGACAAAGCACATGGAAAGAAATGAATAAATTTTAGCTGATATTATGATACTATGTCTTCAATCTCTGTACTTGGAAAGCGGCACTATGCCAGTTAAAAAATGATCATCTTAAAGGTGAGAAATAGGAGAAAAATTCTTTTCAAAAGGAAAGACCCCTGTGCATTTTTAAAGATTTATTACATTTATTATTTTTAATTATGCGTATGTATATATATTTATATATACCTGAGTGTAGGTATCCATGGAGACCAGAAGCATTGAATTCCCCTGAAGCTGGAGTTACAGGCAGTTGTAAGCAACCCAGCCCAACATGGGGGCTGGGAACCAAACTCTCAGACCTTTGCAAGAGCAATATGTGCTCTTAACCACTGAGCCAGCTCTCCAGCTTCCTCACTCACCAAGTACATGTTTAAAAGAAAAACCAATGACAGTTTGAAAAGCGATGAGAAACCAGAAACGTAATTGAAGATCATTTGAGTCAGTCATTTGTTTTGAAGCAGCATTTCTATAATCATTTGAGGAATTTTAGAGAAATAAAATTTTAAGCTCCACTTCTCTGAAATTCTTATTCCTTAAGCTTGAAGTGGAAGTAAAGAATTGTTATATTTAAAGAATTCCAAAACAATTCTGATGATCACTTACATTTGGGACATAACCTTATCAGCCATTAAAATGCGTAGGAAATATATACCATTTTATTTCAAGATGGTCCAGCCAGTGCATGGACACTGCTCCTAGCTGCTTAGTGGCTGGAAATGTTTGATAAGTTTGGAAACTCTCCCAGTGTCTGCTTGTATGGATAGATGGTTATTCCATCTGGCTAGTCACTGGCAGTGTTTTCCTGTAAGTATCTCAGCTTGCTCAGATGGAGTCTACCTTAATCTGCATTAAAATGTATTCTAAGTGCCTACTATTTCACTCCTGCCAAATGTTTCATTTTTTTAAAAAAGTAATGTTCATTTTCTTTAGACAAATTCCACTCACAAAAGCTTGATCAAAATGATTGTTAATAGCTCAGGTAAATAGTTTGGATATTGAAGAAAACAAATGGTCTTTTATTTTCATGAAAGATCATTTTCATGTGAAGTGAGTATAAATGAGAAAGAAAGGAAGATGGAGTGAGGACGAGAGAGAAGTAAAAGGGGAAGAGTGAAGGAGGAGAGGGAAGGGTTAGCATAGAGAAGGGGGAGGAAGAGAGAGAGGAGGAGACAGAGGAAAAGAAGGTAGAGAGAGTGGAAAAGGGAAGAGACTGACTGCTTCTTACTATTTTGACACATAAGACTCTTTCTGATCTTTGGGTTATGAATTTTGTTATATGATTAGACAAGAAACCATACATGCAGCTGCTAAATACTTGACATCTGTTCAAACCAATGAAACTTATTATTTGTTCAGCATATCTTTATAAGAGGAGTTGAATATTACTTTGAGAAAAGTAAAAGTTAATTCGAGAGGGTAACCCAGAGATCATTTTTATTTAAGCATACTGTCAATTTGACTGTGGGTGTGCACAGGCATCCACCCTCTGTTAGATCTCTGCAGTTGCTTATACCTACCATCTAGAAATCATGTTACAACTGCTGTGGTGAAATTCACACGCTGAAATTCTAGACCCCAAAGTGACAGTATTAGAAGGCATAGAATTTTGGAAGACAATTATGTCATATGGGTTGAATCCTCATGACTGTGATTGGTGCCTTTATAAATGAGCCCCAGAGAAGTTGCTTGCTATTTCTATCATAGGGTACAGTGAGATGAAGGCTGTCTATAAGAAGCAGCCCCTCCATAAACACTAAGTCTGCTCTAGCCGGGATGTTTTACTTTCCTAGGCTCCAGAATGATTTGAAATCAGACTCTCTGGTTTTCAGATACTCACTATGTTATTTTTGTTATAGTAACCTGAAGAAACTTGAGAGTCATCCATTGTTCCTTGATGATGTTTTTGATGTTGTCTAATAAATACAATTTTTATTTTTCCTCCAGTTAATACCGACCATCTTGGGGTTCTCAGTAATATTTCAGTGAATGTTAATAAGTCATCTGCCTGATTGACCCACCTTGTAACTTTCTCCAGAAACTTTATAGCACTCATCCCTAATCCCCTTTGGGAAATCAGAAAGAAATAAAACTCCTTAAAAGTCTTTTAAAAGCTAATGAGTAAAAAATAATTAATCACAGGCACTTATTTTGCTTAAAAGACCCAAAACAGTATCTTACCAGACATCTTCAGCATCTTCATCACATTCTGCACCAAACTGACAAATGTCACAGGTGGATGTCTCCTTTTGACTGGTTTCTCCAGAGCCTTCATGGCCTGTCAGACAGGAAACCATAAATGAGGGGGGTGCAGGTAAGTGTGCACAGAATCAAAAATGATGAGTGAACTCTTTATCAAAACTGCTTCCCAGCCAGCCCACTGCTCCTGGACCTTCAATTCAAAAGTCATAGTCAATTCAAGGATAGCACTAATACTGGGCACTCATCAGAAGAGTGAACACTTTAGCTTTTTTTCATGTAAAACAGCCATAAACAAGAGGGTATATACAATTTTTGAAAATTGCTGGCTGATAAATAGACCACATGAAAGAGTTACTTAATTAAAAGGAATGTAGATTGGTCTTCACCTGGGGGTGGGGAAGTCTAGTGATTATTTTATAAAAAGTACTTGCCATTTGCTTACTTCTAAAGTTCACATTTTTTTTTTCATTCAAAGAGTGTATAACCTTTAAAATACTGGATGAGTAGCCTTGTCTTAAGATGTAGTTCCAGTATTCTTTTCGCCTGTTAAGTACTTACAAGGAAAAACATGTTGATTTTAAGTATTGAGAAGACAATTTTAGGTTTTCTTGAGTCTTGTAGGTCTTCTAAGAGTTATAAACTGTATATCCAGTTACTGATACTTATCATTGCTATCAGTCCTCTCTCCTTATAATGTAAGTATGAAATTAGAAAAATACAGCCAAATTACAAAATTAGCTTTTTAAAATCAGTACACGATGATGTAAATAAATGAGAAAAAAAATCTGGTGATTTGAGTGGGAAGCCTGAGCAGCAGCATGGAGTCAGTGGACTACTGCTTACTTGATGAAAATAGCTAAGATAAAAGAAAGACTAGCTTTACTTAAAAAATTGTAAGAACTTGACTGCTGCAGAGGTAGTCAGATTTCTTGGACAGAATGTATGCTTTAAAACAGGTATTCAGACACTAAATGTACTTCTGCAAGAGATTACATTTTCTTTTTTAAAATATTTTATTTTTATTATTTCTATTTTATGTGTATGTGTGTAATTGCCTGCATGTAGGTAAGTGCACCCATGTTGTGCAATGCCTGTGGAGGACAGAAGAGACTGTCAGATCCCCTGGAACTGGAGTTATGGACAGTTGTTAGCTGCCATGTGGGTGCTGGGACTCAAACCCAGGTCTTCTGCAAGAACAGCTATTGTTCTTAACTGCTGAGCCATCTCTCCAGCCCCAAGAGATTACCTTTTCAACATAAAAGGAACATGAGAAATTCCTTGTTATGAATGTATTTAAAATATTTTGTTTTATTAATTAATTAATTAATTAATTATTGCTCTTTTTGAGACAGGGTCTCCCTGCAGACCCAGCTGGCCTGGAACTCACTATGTAGAGCAGGCTGGCCTTGAACTCATAGAGATCCACCTGCCTTTGCCTCCTGATTGCTGGGACTAAAGGTGTGACCCACCATGCCTGGTTTATTATTTTTATTTTATGTGTATGAATGTATTATCTGCATGTATGTGAGTGTACCCATGTCATGCAATGCCATGGAGGACATATTCCCCTGTAACTGGAGTTAAGAATGGTTCTTAACCACCATGTGGATGCTGGGATTCAAACCTGGGTCCTTTGCAAGAGCATTCAGTGTTGTGAACTGCTGAGCCTTCTCTCCGGCACTGTTATGAACGTTTAACAAAACTAATTTATTAAAGCATACTCTGGACCTGGTGAGTTCAATTTTACATTGTTTTAACATGTCTTCTTTATTAATAAAAGATTTTAATTTCTTGATTTTAATTTACTGGTATGAAGAAAAGTGATTTGATACATAAACACAAAAGATTCAAAGACATTTGTAGGAGAGTTCTATATTATTGCTCTGCCTGGGAAGCTAAGAATTTTTTTTTCCTAAAATAACAAAGTTTTTACTGTGCCTAATGATACCTATCTACATTACCTGTACATTTTCCCTGCACCTGATGGTCTTAACTTGCCTTTAAGTTCGGATTTAAACAGGCCACCTTAAATTGCAAAAGAATTGATCTTTTAATCTGGATGTCTTAGGGAAAAAAGTTCCTTCCACAAAAGAAGGAGGAATTTAACGCTGGTAAAAGAGGCAGCACTTACATTATTATCTACTCTACCATTTTAATAGAGGGAAGACCATTAGAGAGGATCATGGGGATAGAAGGGAAGCTGAGGCCTGACCTCAGGGGAGACTGAACAGCTGAGGTTGGTCTCTTTATTACTTTCTTATTATTAATGCAACACAGAAGCTGCTAATGGGAAAGAGCCTTTTAGTGTTAGCAAGATTAGCAACTTCCAGGCTAAAACTTCCCATCACTCAGGAAGCATACTCTTGCAAAGGGAAGATGCTTAATGACCAATGATAGCCACTTAAAGGCAGACCCACTTTCTTCAGCAGCTGAGATTCTTGGTTCAGAATCTACTGAAGTCATTAATCTAGGGATGAATTCTGCTAACTCAGCAAGACTAGTAATAATATTTCTATCTGAAGTAACATTATACTTCTATAAAAGGGCAGTTATTGGTAGAAAAGACATATTTGGAAATTTTTCCATAAGGAGCAATTCAGAAGAAGCAATAGCAACAACTTCATCAATAAATATTCTGAAAACAAAATATCATGATACGAATGAAAACCAAAATAAATCCTCCCTTCATGCCTGAAGCCTGGGTTTCACTTTTGTAATACACAGACAATTCCATCAGTGCACAGCTTCTCTTTTTCACCCCAGCAGCCAAAGGCTCTTAAAGAGAGCTGACCTCAGAAGGCCTGACAGATTTTATATGTTCATTTATCTATTTGTTTGTCTTGGAGATACTGAATAGACTGGTTTTAGACTGATATATGTATTCAAATAAATGCCCCAAAGAGTCAGACCCCTGTTTAAGAATCTCCATCTGAGGCAATACCTAGAACATTCCAGGAGCAGCAAGCAGCCTCCTTGTGCTTTATCTGGCACTGAAAAATCACAAGCGGCACCTGGAAGTGCTGTTAAAATGCAGATTCCAGCTCAACAGGTGTAAAGAGGGGCCTGGCTTCTGCATTTCTTACAAGCTCCCAGATGCAGGGCTGCCCTTCAACAGACCTCAGTTTGAGAAGTTAGGACAGTGCTGCATTCCAAACCACAATTCACAACCTATTAGCTGGTAGTGAAACTAAATGGACCAGAACCTAGATTTTTGTAGCAATGTAAGAGTCTATACTAAGACTAGACAATATCAGAATGTCTTACTCAGCAAGGATAAGCTTTACTACATAACAATACTTTTAGTTATACATATGTATGTGTATGGAGGCTGAAATATAAACTGTAATTCTTAGTAAAGGTCATGCTTGCAAACCACTGATTTCGTATCTGTAACAAGCTCAGTAAATGGGCTCTGAATTGGAGTGTTTCTCTTTTTGTCTTCTTTCTACATTACTGGAAATGGGAAGGGAAGGACTGCAGTTTAATTATTTGTAGTCATATACTGATTATATGGGAATAAAATTCATTTATCCTAAATTATTGTCTTAACCATATGTTTATATATAAGATCTTTATTTTGAGTTGGTGAAGTAAAATTCATTATTTCATTATTTACTGTCTGATTTTAGGGAGTGACTGAAGGAAATCTGAGGGACAAGGGAGGTGATTTCCTAGGAAGATATAATGTATTTAATATACTATTCTAGATTAGACACTGATGGATTCCTATTAGAAAGACTTGAATTAGGAGTTATAAGAAATTTTCAAGTTTATCCCATTCTTAAATTCCCCTGCCGTAAAGGTATTATGAGATGGCCATAAGCCTACGGGACGTGGAGCAGAATATTGTGGTTTCAGTGAGAAGTGTCCCTCACAGCTCAAGTATTTGAATGCTTTGTGCCCAGCTGATGGCACTATTTGGGGGGAAGGGGGTTATGGAGCCTTTAGGAAGTGGAGTCTTTCTGGAGGAAGTGCATCACTAGGGTGGGCTGTCATGTTCCCTCCCTCTGCTTCCTGTGTGTGCATGAAAAGGTGACCAGCCAGCTTCTTGCTCCTCACCACATGCCTTCTCTGCCTGTTGCTAGGCCTTCCCTACCGGCATGGACTCCATCCCTCTGCAACCAGAGCTAAAATAAACCTTTCTTCCATAGTTTGCTTTCAGTCATGGTATTTTATCACAGCAACAGAGCAAGTAACTAATACAGATAGGAAAAAGTGAAAGAAATTCCAATTGGGCATTAATGAATAGAGCAACTATGAATGTTCTTTTATCATTTTTATGTGACTATTGGATATTTGCATGTGTATGTCTGTGATATGCCTATTGATGTTTGTGAATGCAGGCATGCACATGCACAGTGCATGTGTGGAGGTGATCAGAGAACAACCTCAGGTGTCAGTCCTGGCCTTTCACCTTGAAACAGGGTCTCTTTGTTTTTCTGCTTTTCTGATTTTTACTCCTCATGTGCCTTCTGTGGGCTTCTAAGGATTCTCCTGTCACCACTTCTCATGCCCCCATAGGAGCACTGTGATAACAGATACCCATGCTGATATGTCTTGCTTTTACTTGGGATCTGGGGATCAAACTCAGGTTTTCAAGCTTTCTTTCAACACCGAGCCATGTATCCAGTCTAAAAATATTCATAAAAACTCCGTGTACACATGTTCTAATTCTCTTAGGTAGCTTCTTGTTGCTAGTATTATTTCAGGCATATTATTAAGTCTGATGAATTTTAAATATAATTTGCATATGAACTTTTGTTGCGATATATCTTTTTGTTTTTTTTTTCTCATATTACTTTCTTGAAGTTATTTGCTTCTGATGAGTCTTTATATTTATGAAATTAAAATTTTTTCTTTTGTGAATTTTATTTTTATGGCATGTCTAGGAAGTTTTCTACTGAAAGATCATGAAGATAGTCTATCTTTTCTTCTAATCCTCACTTTTATAAATTTTATAATTTTGTTTCATATTCAGGTTTGCAATTTATCTCAAATTGAGTTTTGTATTTAATGTGAAGACTGAGAATCATTTTTCCCCCTCTGAATGTGTTTTTTTCCCCTGATCTATAAAAG